TTCGACAAACATAAATTAGTTCCTACTGAGAAAAAAAAAATATTTATGCAACATTATAGATAAAAAAAAAGCTCGTATCAGTCATACTTAGAATCAATAAAAAAATTACAATAATATAGTCATCCATAATGCCACTACACGTATATTTGACACAAAAAACATTTACAATGATATAGTCATTCACAATGCCACAAATAAAATTTACAATGATATAGTGGGCACAATCCCAACTCAATTGAAATGATCACAAATAGTCATACATCTCAATTACAAATAGGCAATGTACTATAATAAAAAATGCAAGCTTCAAACATGGCTACAACTCAATTATCAAGAACATACATTTTTTATATTAAAAATTTAATAATAAAATTGAAAAATACAAGATAAAATAATTATCATACATGCCACAATTTTTTTACAATGATATTCACTTTAATTCCTCATGATAATACAGTTTAACAACATGTATTTTTTGCATTAAAAATTTAAAAAATTAAAAATACATTTTTAATGCAAAACTGCACTAAAAATATAATACAGTTTAACAACATGTATTTGTTAATGTATTTTTTGCATTAACAACAAATTAAACAATACAGTTTTGTATTAAAAATATAATAAAATGTATTTTTTGAACTAAAAATTTAACAATAAAAATTAAAAATATTGTCTAATTCCTCATGATAATAAAAACCTGGTCACAATTTTTCGAAAAATCACGATTTTTCAAAAAAATTGATCATGAATTAAAAAAAAAAAAAATAACGTAGTTCTTCACATACCCACCTAACATCAGTCATTCCAACTAAAAAATCCGCCTCAAATCGAATAAATTACATCAAATTGAATATATGTTTTGATAAACAATACTATAAGGAATCAAAGCCCTATAATATTAACACATTATTATCAAAATATTAAATAAAATCGATTGAATTGAGGGAAAAAAAAAAAAACGCAGTTCTTCACAGACATCAGTCAATCAATCTAAAAAATCAAGCT